CCTGGTAACCCACAATGTGCTGGCGGGGCGGGGCGGGGGGGGGCAGGTGCCTCCCTACAGGCTTTTCATACACACCTGGCAGCGGCTGACCCGCGTGTGGAGCCGCCCGGCCTTGAGCGTTTCAGATACCGGTTCCTCCCTAAACTGCTGCCTCTCTTCCACCGTCGTCAGCCAGAAACTGTACTTGTTGGCAAAGTAGTGGCAGGTGCCCCGGGCCCCACTGCACTCGATGAAAGGAGTGGCTCGGAAATCCTCCAGGCAGGAGCCCGGGGAGACCAGGGACTGGCCGCCGCCCTCGGCGCCCGCCGCAGTGTGCTGCAAGACAGGGTCAGCGCGTGGGCTGTGCGGCCAGCCGGAGCTCGGGCGCCTCGGCTCAGCCCCAGCATCTAGCCAGCACCCCCAAAGCTCACATTACAGGCCCAGGGGCTGCTCGTCCTCGGGGCCAGGAGCGTCCCCTCCCAGCTCCCCAAGGGCCCTCCTAACCCACCGCCCTTGGGCAGCGGGGACCTCTTGGCCGGCGTCCCCCCCCCCAAACTGCCGGTGTCCCGCCGAGTTCCGAGGCATGTTCGGGGGCTCCCTGCCGATCCCCGCGGGCAAGTAAGTCTGAGAAAGGCTGGATGAAGGCAGACTCAGGAGGTTTGAGGATGCGGGTCTTCTCCGAGCCCTGGTCTACTCCAAGCCCTTGGTGGTGACCCCCAAGAAGAGCAAGAGCACGCGTGGTACCCCACCAAGTGGCTAAACCCTGGGCCCCTCCCCCAGCCTATCTATGAATAGCGCCGGCTCTGCAGTTACCTTCCTTAGAACTTCTAACGTTTTCGATCTGTACCACACCCTTCAGGGCAACAGAGAGCGTTTGTTGCTTGCCGAGTACAAGAGGGCCTCGTATGTGGCCTAGTGTCCCGGCCCTCCTGTCAGGGCCCCTTCAGCATCCAGTGTCAGTGCCATTCATTAGCCCATAGTCGCCAGTCACTGTACCCACAGACAGCAGTCCCGGGTCTCCGCACTCCCCACCCCCTCTCCCATCACAGCCGCTGGGGTATTAGCTGGACCACAGGGAGTGAGGAAGAGGCTTCATCCCCCACCCCCCGGGTCAGCAAGTGGCCAATGGGACAGATGCCCAAGTTGGACGCTCAGGGATGGCTTGCTTTACAAAACTCCGGGAGGGTTAGTCTCCCTATAAGGGATCTTTCCTGACAAATGAAGCATCAAAGTTTTCCTCATTTTGATCCTCAGATAGAACACTTTCTGGAACAGACGACACACTTCCCTGCCTTACTAAATGGCAGACGTTGCGTCTTTTGCACTTTGCGCAGGACTCAGGCTTATTGTTGGGAATGTTGCTTCTTGTGTTGGGCAGTTGTGTCCCCATACCAAGGGACACAACTTGTAGAGTTCTTAGGCCACCTTTGAATCATTTTCTTTGGGCTTGCAGACGTTCTCAGCTCTTTCTTAGCAAGACCTACAGCCTTCCCACGGCAACAGGTAGCAGCAGCAAAGATCCCACCAAGGATGTAGAAACACAGCATGCCCTCATCTGAGCTTTTCAGGAGGACATGAAAGGTGGCCGGAGGGGCCTGGGACGGTGGGCAGAAGAGGAGGGGCGCCCATGCCCAGCCTGGGCAATGAAGAGTGTGTCCGGCCTTGAGTGGGGACAGCCTCTCCCTCACTGTCCCCCGGGATCGGGTGTCACCTCCCTCCCTTGCTTGTGGCATACCTGAAGCTGGCATGGAGACCTTAGGGCCTCTGCCAGTGATTCATATTCTCAGCCCTGGACCTCTGGGTGCAAACTGCTCCTTTCCACTCACCCTCAGAATTACCCATCATTCATGCAGGACTGGGCCAAGGTCAGGCCGAGCCTCTTGCTTCTTTTCAAATTCTGTGGTTCCTACCTCATGTCACTTGGGCCTGCGAGCCCGACTGAGGGACCCTCCCAGGGCTTCCCCCCCTTCCCCGCCGCCCTCTGCCTCTACACTGGGGAAGGCGGCAGGGTAGGGCCTCACCATGAGGAAGGAGTACCCGATCCAGAGGCTGCGCCAGCCCAGGGGGCACTGCGGGATGGTGACGTCCTGGCTGTGCACGGCGATGGCCTGCGAGGGCGCCTCGCACACGGAACAGCGGCTGATGTACTGGGGGATCTGGGCCTGGCCGACGGGCATCATGGGAATGGGGGCAGTGGTGGAGAGCCAGTAGGATTTATCGTTGCGCCTGGCATAGTGGCACACTTCGTCGACGTTGCAGTAGATGAAGGGCATGGTGCTGAAGCGGGGCAGGCAGGAGCCAGCAAAGCCTGGAAGGAGAGCAGGTGGGCAGGGGCGGGTGAGGTGTGGCTGAGAGGCGGGGCTGAGACTGTCCCCAGCGCCGCTAGGGCTGGACGGGCCGGGTTGGCATCCAATCGCTCGTCCCAGAGCAGGGACGACCCTCCTTCCAGGCCTGGCACATGGTACCTCCACTGGCGTCTGTTGGTCAAATCCTATTTTCAACGCACCAGGGAGGTTTGAGAATGAAAGGACTCTTTGTGTAAGCCGCATAACGACTCCCTAATTAATCTGTGGTGTCAAACTGGCATTTAATAGAGCGAGTCTGTGGTTCAGAGTCGGCACACCTATAGACAATACAATTAATTCCTGGGTAATTGCTGTTGCCCCACAGGTCGTATTATTATTATTACTCCTGCTAATCGCTAATGTGTAATGGATGCTTAACATGCCAGACACTGTCCTAAGCGTTTTCCGCTGGGTGATTCATGTAATCCTTACAATCCTTATGCCTCTGAGATAGGTACTAGCATTAGCTTTGTTTTCATTTAAGGAGGAAGTGGAAGCTCAGAGGGGCCGAAGAATTCGTCCAGGGTCCCCAGCCTGTAAGTGGGAGAGCTAGGGTTTAAACCCAGATCCGCCTGATGCAACAGCTGCTGTTCGAACCCCGCTACCCAACGGTGGGCCTGCCCCGGGCTGGGAGGACCGAGGAGGGGAGCTCTTGATCCCCGTTGGTGGGGGGGGGGCGTGGAGGATGGCTCTGACTGGTGTCAGAGCCAGTACTCACCCAGGTCCTGGTTGTGGGCTTTCTCCTGCCCCTCCACGAACAGCAAGCTGTAACCCACCCACAGCTGGCTCATCCCGACGGGGCACAGGGGCACCTGTTCCGACTGGCTGTGCTTCACCAAGGTGTACCCCACTCTCACGCTCTGCCCAGGCACTCCAGCCCTCCCGAAGGGACCCTTCTTCCCCGGAGCACCTGAGAGGGAGAGAGCCGGAGAGGGGGGTGAGCTGCTCATAAGGGCAGCTACAGACTTCGTGGCGAGCACTGAGCACGGCACACTGCAGAGCTCACTGGATCCTCACGGCAACGTGAGCACCCCGTTTGGTAGATAAGGGAACAGGCTCACAAGTCCCGTAGGCCGTGGAGCTGGAATGCCAACTCAGGTGTATCCAGCAGCGGAGTCCCTATTTGAAAAAGCGTGCTACCCAGCTCCCCTCCCACTGCCACCTGGCCTCAGGTCCTCTACGAGGGGACCTTGCAGGCTCGCCCAGGACATAACCGAGACCCTGCTGAATCAGAGGCAGCAGAAGCAGAATTGGGACTAGCGGGGCAAAAATCATACCCGCTCTCCTGCCCATGGCAGACGTGGCTAGTTAATCGTACCCCTTTTCCACTGAGCCTCAGAGCTGTTCTCTACGCAGGACAACTGATTTGCTATCTCCACTATCAAATGGGAGGTAAGTAGCAGCCATTCCTCATCTCAGACTTTCTTATGCCTTGAACCGCCCCCTTCCCATCCATGTCAGAATCCCAGGGTAGAAGAGGGGAGGTGCAGGGCCAGGGCCCAGGCTAGAGGACAGTCATAGCTCTCCCGAGAGCTGGGAGAGAACCCAGAGAAGGATTTGGAAGGAGTCCTTTGCCTTCCAGAAGGTGGGGCTCTCATCCTTCCTAGGCTCAGAGGTGGGGTGGGAACGAATGGAACGCAGTCTGGTTTTCCAGGCTCCTAGTAGTGTCAAGCTTTACTGCCCGGTTTCCTGTTTCTCAGATTTGAGATTTAGGCTCACTCCAAAGCCTCCTATCCTCACGGAAACCCTCTGCCCCCTGGGGCTGACATCACCAGACCTTCAAATCCTGGAGGGCCTTGCAGTCCGGGGAGACCAGGGTCACCGAGAGCCCCAGGCGGGCCGGGGAGTCCGTTGAGACCATTTTTGCCAGGGATGCCAGGGAAACCTTTGGAGCCTGCAAGGGGAGAAGGCCGGCAGCTCGGACTCCCTGTGGGAGGTCCGCGAGAGCAAGCCCCAGAGAAAAAGGACTCGTGTGTCATGCCCAGGACTTACCAGGAGAGGGCGCAGTGGTCATCATTTTAGAGCACTCAGGGCTGAGCCTCCTGGGCTAGTCCTTAGCTGGAGTCCCGAGTCTGGGCATCTCTGTCCTGGGACCACTGCTCTGCACGTAGCCCTTCTGAGCCCCCCTCACACCTATTTCTCCCTCCCTTCCTCTCATCCTCCCAGCAACGCCCAGAATGCACAGAAACTCAGAGTCCCACGTCAGAGAGGAGGACACCTGGGCCCGGAGAGACTACTCACTTACCCGAGCTGGTGCATCAGCTGGGATTAGAAGCTGGGTTTCCCGGGCCCCCCAGCCCCGGGGCTTTGTCCCTGGCTCTTGATCCCCCACCGCCCTCCCTCCTTCCCTCGGCGGCACGTTAGAGAGGGACGTGCTGCCCAGAGTGGTCGCTATGCTCTGCCCACACATTCTCTAAAGCCAAGTACATCTGCTGACCTTGCTGGCCCTCCTTCCCGGCAAGAAGCTCGGGGGCTGGGTGCCTGGGTGGCTCTGTTGGTTAAGCGTCTGCCTTCAGCTCAGGTCATGATCCCGGAGACCCAGGATCGAGTCCCACATGGGGCTCCCTGCTCAGCAGGGAGACTGCTTCTCCCTCTGACCCTCCCCGCTCTCGTGCTCTCTCACTTTCTCTCTCTCTAAAATAAATAAATAAAATCTTAAAAAAAAAAAAAAAAGCAGCTCAGGGGCTTTTGTGAAGGAAAGGAGGAAATGCCCCATGAAGGTGCCCCCTCGGAGCTGGAGATCCCAGCCAGTTGCTTCAGCCTCTCAGCCAAGGCCGTCTTAGCTCCCCTCCCCCGAGAAGTCCCCTATTGCTGGTGCTCTCCTTACCTTGGAGGCCTACAGGGCCTTGAACCCCAGGGTCTCCCGTGAGGCCAGGGATGCCATCGATGCCCGGTAGACCCATGGGTCCAGGAGGAACCTGGACAGCTTCTGCAATTGGTGTTTGTCCAGGAGCACCTCGGGGTCCAGAAAAGCCTGGGGGTAAGTGGGGGAGATGGAAATATCAGGTGGGGGCAAAGGAGATGACTGGCATGGGGCCCCAGAAGCCCGCCGTTCTACCCGGCAATTGCCCGCTTTCTGCCTCGGCTGTCTGCCCCCACAGTCCCCAGTGGATCCCTCCAGGATGACTGTCACCATGCTTTACATGATGTCCTCTTTACCCACCTACCTCCCCAGGGAATTGGTGGCTTCTTGAAGGCAGGGAATGGGTTACATTCATTGCATTTCCTCAGGGCCCGGCGTAGGGCCTGGGACATGGTAGACAAGTCAGGACACGACTATGGCAAATGAGGTGGGCTGGGCTTTCGTTCGGGGCTGGGGTCGCTGGTTCACTCCCTCACTGGTCAGAACACAGCGCCAAGGAGGCCAAGGGGAGGCGTCCAACCTCGGAGGTTCAGCGGGCACCTCGGCCTGGGACCCTGAGCCTGGCCTGCCGGTTTACTCATAGCCACATGAGCCAATTTGCTTACTAATTCATTGACCAAATATTTCTCAAGTGCCTACTACGTGCCACACCCTGGTAGACTGAGGGATGGAGCAGTGAATAAGACCGACCGTTGTGGAGACTACGGTCCGTTGATAGAGATGGAAGATGCATAACCTGACAAATACCGTTTGTCTTCCTGCAAGTTGTAAGAAGCGCTACAAAGGAAATGAACAGTGCAGTGACAGTGATAGGGACGGTGACAGTGAGCCGAGGGGGCTCTGGGGTGGAGAACCGGCTTGAGAAAGAGTGATAAGTGGCCTCTTATGAGCAGTGACATTTAAGCTGAGACCATTAAAGAATTAGAAGGAGCAGGGGTGGAGGGGAGGGCAAGAGGACTCTAGGAAGTAGAACTCTCCTGTGCAAAGGCCCTGGAGTCAACTAGGTCGGCTAAATGAAAGAGGCGGGTGTGGCAAAGAAGGAGAACAGAAAAGAGGAAGGGCTGATGATGAGGATGACTTGGGAGGCGTCCCCTGGGACTTTGGGAGCCATAGTTTATTGCTCTGCTATGGGAAGCCAGTGGATGACTTATGGCTTAAAAGGTCTCTCTGACTGCTTTGTGGAGAAATGATTGTTGGGGGAGCTGCCCAACGGGGGAGGAAGCTGGGAGGCCAGTTAGCAGGTGGCTGCCGTGATTCCTGTGAGAACCAGCGGTGCTCTGGACCCGGGTGGCAGCAAGGGAGGTGCTGAGAGGTGAGCAGATGTGAGGCGCATCAAGAGGAGGCAGCCCGCGGGGCTTGCTAACAGGTTCGGGGTGCGTGAGGGGCTGGCGGTAAAGGATGGAAAGGGTCCTTCTTCATTTCCAGAATTGAGCCCGTGGGTAAGTGGCAATGAGTGCAAACCAAACCGAACGTGCCCACCAAGGCAGAAGGCGTGCAGAGGGGAGATCCGTAGCCGGCCCCATGGTGGCAGTGGCCTTCAGTCCCGGGAGCTGCCGGACGCAGAGATGTCCCCAGGGTGGGGACATACCGTCCCTGGAGGAACTTCCTGCTGCTGCCTCAGACACCCAGGCTGTCCTGGCGTGGTGAGCAGTAACTCCTGTGGGCACATGACCCCCAGACCCGTCCCTAGAGCTCAGCATCAGCCGGGCGCGTGCTCTCAACTCACCTCTGGGCCCTGCCTTCCCCTTCATCCCGGGAAGTCCTGGGTCTCCGGGTGGCCCGACCTTGCCTGGAATCCCCATGAAGCCAGGCTCACCTCTCACGCCTGGCAAAGTCCAAAGGAGAGCAAGTCAGGGCCTGGCACGGTGGTGCGGGTGAGGGGCGGCGGGGTGAAGACGAGGCAGATTTGAGGGCGGGAAGAGCATGATCAGCGGGCCCCTCTTCATGGGGCTGCAGGAAGGGGTCATCTCTAACTGTGGAGTGGGAAAGGGCCCAACAGCCCGCCGAGCAGCCATACCTTTCAGTCCCAGCTCTCCAGGGAGGCCGGAGAAACCTGGAATTCCTTGGTCTCCCTTGGGCCCTTGAGGGCCAGGAACTCCAGGGAAGCCAGGGTCTCCAGGGTCACCTTGATCAGAGGACGGCCCAGGGGGCCCCGGGCGCCCCGGGGAGCCTGGGCGGCCTAAGGATAAGATCAGAAGAGGAATGAGGGCAGGTGAGCAGGAAGTGGCCACCGCTGAAGGCCTCAGCCTGCTAGGAAGCCAGAGCCTGTTTCCCAGGGCAGAGAATGTTCCCTTGCTGTGTGCGGGGTCCCAGGGCCTGGACCTTCCCGAACCCTCTGAGCAAATGCAGCCCGTTCCAGTCCCCTGTGTCCCTGCTAGGGGAGGGATGTGAGGCCAAGCAGGCCCATGCCTGTCCAGCAGTAGGAATGGGGCCGGACTGTATTAGGACCTCTCCCAAATCCGGACAAAAGGTGAAGGTCAAACCTCTTGGGGGGGCTTCCTGTCTTTACCTCGCTCTCCATCTAGGCCTGGTCGCCCAGGGTCGCCAGGCTGTCCCACTATGACTGAGGGCAAGGAGAGGCCTGGGGCACCGGGCAGACCAGCAGGGCCCTGGAGACCTGGGAAACCTGCAAAGAAGAAATAAAAAGGGGCCGCTATGGGCTTGGTGTGGCCGGGCTCTCCCGGAGAAAATGGAAGCGGTTAGGTAGGGGCCAGACCAGCGAACGCCCTCAGAGGGCTCTTCTCCCGTCGGTCAGTTGGTCTCCCTTTGCAGCCCACCGAGGAGGAGCACAGCCCACAGGAGGTCACAGAGACTCCCTGTTCACCAGCCCCTCCCCGCGCGCCCCCCTCCACCCACCCTCCCCCGCAGGTGCCGCAGTTCCTCCTCGGGACGGAGCTTTGGAAAGTTCTAGCTCCCAGTGTCGCTGGAAATGGAAATATTTCAGACAGATTTCCCTCAAATGGGGAAGAAAAGAAGGCATGACTACAGCACCTGGAACTGAAGTTTCTTTAAAGTGTTTTTAAACCTTCTGGCCCTGTGGGCACATTTTCACTGAATTAGCCAGTTATGTCTGGGGCTGCCCAGAGAAGGTATGAGGGCCGAGGTGGGGCATGGGCTCCAGCCAGAAGAGCCGCGGGCTGGGTCTGAATGCAGGTCCCAAGGGCACTACGGCTTCCGGTGTCTTCTAGGGCTAGTTTCTGGGTCTTCTAGGCAAACTGGGAAAGGCTTTGACAGGCAATCCGTGATATCAGCTGGCTGCTTGCTTAATTGCCTATAGAACAAATTTCTCTATACCACATCCCGGCCCCCTCTTTTGGTCAAAGAAAAAAGCTATTTATTAGAGTAGATACAGAATACTTGTCTACTCCGATATTTTTTACTTGTTTTCTGTTTGTGGAATGATTTCTACTATAACGTTCAAAACCAGAAAATTTCAACTGATTACAGAAGATTTATTGAATATGCATATGAAGACATACATGGAATCCTGATGGGAAACCACATCAAAGCCATATGTAAAATGTCAAAGTCCATCTTATACTTGTAGTATGAAAGAAATGTATTTATTATTTTGGCATATTCTAGAATACATTCCAATGACGAGAAATAGATTCCCACTGGTTGAAAACTATTCTGGTGGTCGAGATGATTTTTTGTTTGTAACAATAAAATCCAAAAATACAAGGTTGAATTTTTATTTTTCTGATGAAGAAAGCCAGAAATATTAATGTGGGACTTCTCGTATTCTGTTAAAGAAATGGTAAATCCATAAAAATGCGTAAAGAAAGATGGCGGATTGGTGAATTCCGGTGGTTTTTACAGCTCATTAGTGAACTGAATGCAGAGGAAACATAAAGAATAAAAAAGCAAATTTCAAGAAAAGGCTCCAATTATTATAAGTCCGGAAACGAAACAAAAGAAAAACAAGTTGTTAAGCCACATGTTGTTACTTTTAAGTATGGTCAGTTATGTCTTGATGAACCTTTCAAGTATTTTTCTTTGTCACAAAGGTAAACTTCTGAAAAGAAAGACATATTGTGTTTTTTCCTGAAAATATAGCTTTATATATACACATACATATATTTTTATATATAAATATAAAATATATATATGGTGAAATGAAGCAAAAAACAATAAACAAGACACCAGATGGTGCTGTGGGCAGCACACAGATTATAAAAAGCTCCCATAGTAGTTTTTGGAGCTGCCTTCTCTTTTTACCTGTTTTTTGAGTTTAGAATATACCAATCTAGCATTAAAACTGAAATAAAGGTCCTACTGATCTCGAGTAGTTAAAAAAAAAAAAGCTCATGTATTTCTTTAAGAATGAGACACTTTAAAGGAGCACGTGAAAATGCCCGATGGCATGTTTTTCCAACTCATTTCAGTGTCTGAGACTTAAGAAAAGCCTAGGTACACAAATGTAGCCTCTAAATATCTAGTGCAAATGCGAAAATGAATGGTGTGATTCATAGTTATTTAGAGAAAGGTATTATAGGGACAGGGACTGCTTTAGGAAGTTTGCTTCGGGGTAAATCTTCATTTTACACTGATTTCTATGATCGTAACAGAGTTAGGTCCCTATGGGGGGGAAGATATTTGCTGTATATTTTTAAAACAGTGTTTTAATTAAATATTGAGAAGAGCAGAAGAATATTTATAAATCGCAAGTAAAAACTCACCCAGATAACAATGAACATCCAGTTTAAGAAAAAGATGGCATTACCTTTGAATTTCTTTGCATGCCCTTCACAGATCCCTACCACCTTCCCTCCCTCTCAAGGGGCTACCACTCCTGAATTTTGTGTTCATCATTCGCACAGTTTGACCACGCGTATCCGTGTCCCTAAACGATATATTGCTTGTTTTCATTTATTTATAAACTTTGATCAGTGGAATCATACCCAACGTCTTTCTCTGCAACTTGGGTTTTGTTTTTGTTTTTGTTTTTAAATCAACATCGTGTTCCTGAGATGTATCCATCTTCACATGTGTTGTTTACTACATTTGTCACTGTGATTTTGTTATTACCTCAGAAAGCAAAAGGAAATGGATAATTTAATGACCAGGCATCCATAATCAAGATGGGAAACCATCTGGGTTTTGCTTCTCTCCGGGTCCCCTCTTTTCTACCTCCTGTGAAAGTAGCCACACTCTCTCCCTATGGGCTCAGACCCTGTGGGAGCCCCCACTCGGAAGAAGCTGCTGGCTTTCAGAAAAGAACGGGTTGGTCCTGACCAAAGGAAAAAGTGAACACAGAGAGAGCAGATGCACCAATATAAAATTCAGCAGAAAATGAATTAATGTAGAAATCAGTTCCTGGAAAACAGACACGCATTATACAAACATGCACATAAATTAGATGCGTGGGGACCTCAAGCTTCAGAACCATAACGGAGGAGCAGAACATTTTGCAAGTAGAATTTCCCCAGGGAACACATCATGATATAACGGACAATGTTTCTTGAGCACCTACTATGTGCCAGGTGCTGTGCTAAGTGCTTTTATACCTATTACCTCGCTCCTCATTGGTTCCTCACCAAACCTGTGCGCTCAACTCTCTTATTATGCCCATTTTACAGAAAAGGAAAATGAAGGGTCCATGGGGGATTGAGGGGCAAGTCACTTCCTTGTTCAAGGTCATACAGCCAGTGAGGGGTAGAGCTGGAATTTGAATCCAGTGGTCTGACTTCAGAGCCCATACTCCTAGGTGTGATGCTACACTAAATTTGTTTGCTGTCTTACATCGAGTGCCATGTATCTGGGTCTTCAGAACATTCGCAAGGAGAGGGAGAGACTCAGAATTCATTCTTGCCATTTGAGAGGTGGGGAAAGGAAAGCTCAGGAGACTTCAGATGATATCATGAGTCAGGGGCCAAGATTAGGGCAAAACCTGCTTTCTAGTAACCCCCACAGATCCTAACTGAGTGCCTGTGAGTGTCTCTCCTAGGGAGACATTTATCTTCTTGGTCTTGGGCTCCTTCCGGCAGCCACACTGTCTTAGAGCCCTGGGAGTAGAGCGCCAGCCACCCTGGATGCTGAGGAACTTCCAGCAAATCTCTTGCTAAGTGGACAAGCCCTGGACCTCAGGACCTTTAAAGTCAGGCCCTGGCCAAGGGTGCAAGAGAGACCCTGGGGTTAATAAGGGAGAGCAGGAGGGAATATGGAGGCTAGAGGGAGCTCACCGGACTGCTCCTTGACACGCCTTCCAGGAAAGCATGCCCCCCCCGAGCAGTCAGTTCCACTGGGTTCTGAGATCCCCAGAGATGTGAAGACATGCACAGCTCAACCCTGTGAGCCATGTGGCCCTGAGGAGCCCCAACCTTGGCTCCCTGGCTGGGCCTTACTCAGCTTCTATAAGGCCTGACTTGGGCTCACTTACCTCGGCCACCTTTTTGTCCTTTCATGCCTGGCTTCCCTGGGGCACCAAGGCCAGTTCCTGGAGAACCTCTTTCCCCTTTGGGACCAGGCAGGCCAGCTGGCCCAGGCACGCCGGTTATACTAGGTCCTAGGAGGAGATGCAGACAGAGGAGGGACAGAACTCAGTGCGGGCGAGGCTCTCATGCCTAGCTCATGGGCTGGGGGCCTGCCTGACATGCACCAGAAGCTGAGTACTGAAGTAACCGGAAGGAGAGCTCATTCTGAGTAGAAGGACAAACTCCTTCCCCCTTCCTCCTTCCTCCACAAATCAAGGCACCTCAGATCGGGGGCCTGGCAAGGAGATCTATGAGCTGAAGGATATGGGATACCCCACAGTTGAGAACTCATGGCCAGCCCCCTGCCAGCCTTCTGGAAGAGCCAATGCTCTCCTCCTTGCCCTTGAGGGTCTTCCTTACCCGGAGTTCCATGGGTTCCCTTGGTTCCTGGAAGCCCATTCAGCCCATGTAAACCAGGAAGTCCAGGGAAACCTGAGGAGACAGAGTATCAGTAATGGCTCTGGCAACTTCTGAATCATGAAGGGTTAGCCAAAGGTCCTGAACCCCCAGAGCCTTCCAAAGTCCTCATTTTAAAGGTCATGGTCTTTCTGGAGGCATTACTTAATGCCCTAAGGGAGAGCAGACCACTCCCTAACCTCCACCCTAGCTTTTCCTGACTCTCATTAGAGACCCATACAACTTTAAGAGCAGGGTGGTGGATGATTAGGTCTCTTCAAGAACGCAGCGTTGCCAGCTCCCAGAGACTCGCTATCCAACCCTGAAGTCAGGGGAAGGCTACGTGTGCCAGGACAACAGCCTTGCTCGCTAACTCTTCTCTCCATGGATTCCCTGTTCTCCTCTTCCCGTTATCTGTCACATGGCCAGTCAGTAACTCCCCAGGAAATGGCTTGCCCCCAGAGGGTGTCTCCTAATATAAAGGAGTTGCTCTCCTTTTTCTGAGGGAAGAACCTCTTTCCCCACGGCCTCCTCTCAAATAGACATACCTTTGGTTCCCATTAGGCCAGAGGGTCCCAGGGGCCCAGTTGCCCCTGGATGGCCTGGAGAACCCGGAAACCCTGGATTTCCTCTCATGCCTGCAATCCCGGGGAGTCCTGAAAGTGAAAGCAAGGCAGGAGCTCAGAATGGGCCATGGCTTGAAGCTGACCCTCACTTTTTCAGAATACAGTCTTTGGGTGGCACGGTACCTGGGGAGCCAGGAAGGCCAACATCTCCAGAAATACCAACATTCCCATCTTCACCTTTGCTTCCTGGGAAACCCACATCACCAACGAATCCATCTGTTCCTTTCTCGCCTACAACATCAAGAAAAATGCTGAGTGGTCGGGCCCCGTTTCGGGTACCATGTTTTTCCCAGGGGAGGGGGAGCAGGAAAGGAAAGCTACTTGAACTGTCAAGAGAGCCTGGTCCAATGAAAAAACTCTGAAAAGGATGGTAATAGAAGACCTATCTTTGCATTTGCAAGGTGCTGCCCCGCTACGGTAAGTAAACGTGTTCTGTGTGCCCCCATAAAGAGGAACAATGGGTGGAAATGTTCGAGAACCAGTTTAGATAATTATAAACCGAGGAAGTGGACGCCATTATCCCAAAGGTCTTATTCGACTTAACTCATGAGTCTCGAAGGAAAAGTAGACTCGTTTGCTTGGGGAAACCGTGGGCTGCCTATGAGTGGATATGTGTCAGGGTAGGAATTTCTTTGCACTGGATAGAAGTTACAGAACTTGGGGTTGACCTCCCCAATTCCTCCTGATCCTCAGTTTTGAGGAGCCTGTGAGACACGTGAGATAAAAGGACAGTAGACTTACCTTTAAAACCAGACTCCCCAGGTTGTCCCTTGGGTCCTGGGCTACCGGAAATTCCAAATGTCTGACCTTGATCTCCTGGGGATATGAAGATATTGTCCAAGTGGTCAGGAGAAGCTAGAGCTCATTTTACAGCAAAGAGATCTTTTGATGGCAAAACCTTTTCAGATTCAATGTAGCCAGAGGAGATCTTTGACAAAAGTACACATTGGGTAAAAAGTGACCAATCACCAAAAAAAGGCTGGGATGCTAACAGGCTACTGGCAAGAAATGCTGCTACGTGAAGCATATCTCCATTGGGAAGACATCGCTAGGTTCAGTATGGGCAGAGAAGATGGGAGGAGGGGTGCTAAAACATCACCAGAATGGAACAATGATGATGGCAAGTATGGGAAATTTTCCTGCCCCGTGGGCTGGGCTCAGCAGGGAAAAAGACTGTCTTGAGCCGAGGCCCTCTTCTGCTGCTGAGTTTGGAAGGCAAGTGGGTCAAACCATTGTTTGGTCACACGTCTTTGAGGAGCAAAGCCCTTTGCAAAGGGGTCTTGGCCAAAGGGGAAAGGTAAATCAATTTACTTCCTCTTGAACACTGAGTTTCCTTCCCCAAGAACCCTGACCTGAGCCTGCTAGAAATCCACCTTGCTCTGGAAACACCCATTAAAAGAGAAAATGCTCCTCACCTTTTTTAAAAAAAATTATTATTATGTTCAGTTAGCCAGCATACAGTACCTCATTAGTTTTTGATGTAGTGTTCAATGATTCATTAGTTGCGTATAACACCCAGTGCTCCATGCAACATGTGCCCTCCTTCATACCCATCACTCTGGTACCTCATCCCCCCACACCCCTCCCTTCCGTAAGTTTGTTTCCCGGAGTCTCTCATGGTTTGTCTCCCTCTCTGATTTCTCCCCCCTCAGATTTCCCTCCCTTCCCCTGTGGTCCTCTGCGCTATTCCTTATGTTCCACATATGAGTGAAACCATATGATAATTGTCTTTCTCTGCTTGACTTATTTCACTTAGCATATATACAATGGAATATTACTCAGCCATCAGAAAGGATGAATACCCACCATTTGCATCGACACGGATGGAACTGGAGGGGATTATGCTCCTCACCTTTTGAACCTGGGAGACCAGATGTTCCTGGGAGTCCGGGAGTTCCATTGAGACCCTGTGAACCCTTCGAAAAATATGGAAATCATTGTTTCTGCCTGGAGCTCAGGGCCTCCCATGCTCTCACCTCCCCCCGCCCCCAACAAACCATTGCCTGAGAGAGGTCTACTGCGTACGCTGTGGCAGGGGTGGGTGGGTGGAGGGGGCATCCTGCGGAAGGGAAGTTGATGAGCCAAGGGTGGAAATACATAGGGTTTTTAGGGGAAGGACTCTATCTGCAGATTAATCCTGGTCTCGTCATTCATAACTTCCCAATGGCTATCAAAATGAGAATCTTGGGAAATCAAGGTGTGACTATTGTAGCAAGTCTCTTTGAAAATACAGGACGTGACCATCCAGCTGGATTCTTGGTGGTGTGCTCTGCAGAGAGTCGGCTGGTGCCACCCATGCCAAAGCTCTGGAGCCACAATGCACAAAGAAAAGGATTGCTTCACTGGGCAGGGCGATAGCCGTCAGCTGCAAGTCCTGCAAGCTTCGGATCCCTGCAAGGAACCACGTAGCGGGCTGGATGTGCGCAGGTCCTGGAGTCTGCGTTTGGGCTAATGTTACCATTTTCACAGGAAAAACTGCCTTGACTGACTCATGTCCAGCACACTGTCTGAGTCCGGGATGTGGGCGTGTCAGCTGCTGTCAGTCCAGTGACTCCCCCCGGGAGCTGGTGTGGTTTTGAGTTGTGGAGCCACCCGTAGTAAAGACGTACACTACCTAGTGCCTTGCGTGGGAGTCTGAGTTCTGGGCCGGGTCTCTGAGTTCGCTGACCCCCCTACCCTGGATCCCCCCTACATTTGCCTGGCTTTTTCCGCACATTTGGGATATCTGCTCACGGGGCAGGAAAATTTCCCATACTTGCCATCATCATTGTTCCATTCTGGTGATGTTTTAGCACCCCTCCTCCCATCTTCTCTGCCCATACTGA